GGTACAACCATCCGGCAAGGGTCCACGACTCACAGGAGCAGCAGAGGCCCTGCTTGCGGACCCCCAGCAGCATGGTGCGGCAGAAGTTGCAGTAGGCAGGTTTCTTGAAATGCTTCAGCCTCCAGGCATGCTGCCCGTCGTCCTTCACATTCTGCAGGGCAGGAGAGCAAAGTGGGGGGGCGGGGGGGTCACTCCCCTGCTGCTGGGGGTCCCAGCCCGCTCAGCCCACCACTTTTATCAGCTTTTCATCCCGTAAAAACCCCCAGCATCTTTGTGGGAGTTCACTCCCAGCAGGACCGTGGGCTTCCCATGCTCCCCTTCTCCCTGGTGTTCCCCCAAGCATCCCTGCTGCCACGTCCCCCTGCGCCCCGGGCATGTACGGCTCCTGGCATGGAGTCCGGCTCCCCACGGCCCCTCGGCACGGTCCGGCTCCTCGGCGCGGTCCGGCTGTGGGGATGCTCGGCTGGTGGCTGACGGGAAGGTGACTCCACATCTGGGGCCAGGCCACCACCACCACGGAGTGACCAAAGGCAGCCTCTTACACCTGGGTCCAGGCATGAGTGCTTTGCAAGAGCCACTTAAAATTCCCCATTTTTTTTTTTTTGAATCTTCCCACCGGAAAGCCTGCCCCTGCCACCTCTCCGTGGGAAGCAAATGCCAGAATGGGCACCGGGAAGCAAAACCACGGATTTTTCCCTGCAAACTATTACCCAATGGCCAGGGAGGCACCTTGATGAAATGAAGGTCAAAAGGATGGAAAAATAACACAAAGAAATAAGGAGGGGTCCCCAACTGCCCCACCTCTGCTCTTTGAAACTCAGCCCAGGAGAGGTGCTGGCATTTTAGGTGTTCATCTTGTATTTTCATTAAATATTCATCGAACCGGAGCGTGCTACAATAGCAAGGAGGGAGCCCAGCCTGCTTAGGCACGGCAGCTGGCAACACCCGCAGCTCAAATCTGAGCTTGTGACAATTTGAGGTGGCACAGGGGGGGTCAGCAGAGACAGGGCAGGGGAGTCTGCAGGGGCTGAGGAGCCAGCGTGGGGCTGTGCGGTGCTGGATGGGTGCCCATTGCTGGGGGTAGGGTGCCCTGCACCTCTTCCATCGCTGCCCTCTTCTCCTGCTGCCGCCAGCCCTGGGCTTTCCTTCGGGAGCGAGCGGAGCGGCTGGCTGCGGCTGAAGGCAAGGTGCCCAGGCGGACACTCACCGTCTCCATCCCCAGGAGGACTAGCAAGGGGATGGTGGTCATGCCACCCCGGATCCACTCCTCCAGCGTCACAGTCCCATCATGGTCGTAGTCGATCTCCTCCATCATTGCCTTCAAGATCTGGAAGAGGGAGGAAACACGGTGACACGGCCATGCCACCCGTGAACTCCAACTACCGGCTCCGGCTGAGAACCTCTGCGACCCCCCCGGCCCCCCCCAGCCCTGGCACTCACCGGCTTCAGCTCGGTGGAATCCCACTCCAGGTACTCGGCCACGTGCACCATCTGGTTGATGATACGATCCAGCTCCTGAGCACAGAGGGACGGCGGTGCCCAGCGCTTAGGGACGGCTTTGGGCACAAGCGGCATGTCCAGCCCCCCAGCCCCTAACCCGGGACGTATCAGGTCGAGTTCCCAATACACCCAAGGCCACCCCGGCCCCCTGCCCGCACAGGGGCCCAGCGACATCCCACGTCCCAGTGGGTGCTGGGTGCTGCTTTCTCCTCTGAAAATCTGCAGTGGGTTTTCCCTCGGAAAAACTGCTCCGATGAAACAGATTTTTATTTGCAACAGGTTCCAAGGGAGATGATACCCAAAGGACAAAGAGAAAACATCCCGGCGGGGTGGGGTTGCGCATGATTTTTCCATTTTTGAAACGCCGTGACCCAATGTAGTGCTACAATACCGGTGGGGGGATCTTTTCTAGCTGCTGCTGGATGCTGCAGAGCTAGCGTGCATCCTCCAGTCCCGTGGTCCAGCCCCAGCACAGCTGCTGCCGCCTTCCTCCTCCCTTCCCATATCCCTGTCTAGCTCGGAGCACCTTGCCGGGGGGAGCGGACCCCCCCAATAGAGCCCTGCGTGTCTCCAGCTCCCCGAGAAGGCTTACCGAACTGTCCAGGAGGCCATTTCCATCAGTGTCGTAGAGACGAAACATAACTGGAGGGAGAAGAGAAGCCAACTGCTGGTTAGATCCCGGCCCGGGGGGCCTGCGGGATGGGAGCAGCGCTGGCTCAGCCCGGCTGAGATGGGACCGGAGCTCGTACAGGGCTGCGGGGTATCGGCGTGAACCCGCGGCCCCCCCGGCTGCCCCTCTGCCAGACATGGGGGCTGGCAGGCAGGAGCAGAGGGGTGACACCGAGCAGATTTCCCAAAGTGCTTTGAACATTAAAAAATGAAGCAGGAGCACCGAGCCCTGCACCC